GTTTTGGAGGAAAAATCAAGATTTTTATCTGGGGTATGGCACAGTGGTTAAGAGCTTGGCTGTAACCAAAAGGTCAGCAGTTCGAATCCACAGCTGCTCCTTGGAAGCTCTATGGGGCAGTTCTACTCTGTCCTATAGGGTCACTATAGGATTGACTCAAGACACAACCTAATCTTGTAGATTGAGTCCTGCCTCATTAACATAACTGCCTCTAATCCTGCCTCATTTACATCATAGAGGCAGGATTTACAACACATAGGAAAATCACATCAGATGACAAAATGATGGACAATCACACAATACTGAGAATCATGGCCTAGCCAAGCTGACACACATTTTTGGGGGACACAATTCAATCCATAAAAATAATGATAAGGTCTAAAGTATATCTTAGATGGAGCCCTGGTGGCACAGTGGTTAAGAGCAAAGCTGCTAACCGAAAGATCAGCAGTTCAAATCCACCAGCCACTCCTTGGAAACCCTATGGGGCAGTTCTACTTTGTCCTGTAGGGTCACTATGAGTGCGAATTGACTTGATGGCAATAGGTTTTGTTTTGTTGGTATTTTTTGTTGTTGTTTATGATCTTAGAAGTGAGGGCTGAGGTAAGGTGGAGAAAAAGATTATTGCTATAAGGATAGAGAGTGGTTTAATCTAATGATGAGATTCAAAGCCTGAGGTTTTAGGGAAGAGTAAATAATTATCTGACGATAGAAGGACCAAGGAAGCCACCTATTTCACCTCCAAGAGCTGGGGCGGAAGATGGCCTCCACTTGAGATGGTTGCAAGAGATAATGTTCTTCAAGAGAGCCAGGTTTTAATTAGAATAAAATGGTGAAGGGATAGCGCAGAGAAAGTATTGATATAAGGAATTTTGCTGATGAATGATCCAATTTATGAGAGCAGAGTGGAAGGGTTTGGGGATTTCAAGAGGGGTGGGATTTGGGGTCAGAGTATGGATTGTACACAGGAGCCATATGGGGGTAAGAGTGAGGAAGGTAATGACTTGGACTTCTTGTGAGGACTAGCATGATCAGTGCTGGTGGTCGCAGGACAGATGGTAGTGGAAAACAATGCATGATGGAAAGAGGGAAGGGAGGGAGGAGCATCTTGCCAGAAGTTGTGTTAGGGGTTCTCACTTTACTCCTGCCCATGGATGCCAGTTTTACTCCAAGTACAGAGCTCACTCTACCTTGTTCATTACTTTTTTGTTTTAGAGTCCTATATCGTCTGCTTTCCTACAGATTGTAAGCTCTTTGAGGTTAGTAAGAATTTCTTACTCTTTTTAAACTCCCCCACTGATTACAAGTAGTAAAACGAAACCAAAACCAAACTCACTGCCATCAAGTCAATTCCAACTCATAGTGACCCTATAGGACAGAGTAGAACTGACCCACAGTTTTCCAAGGCTATAATCTTTACGGAAGTAAATTACCACATCTTCTGCAGAGCAGCTGGTGGGTTTGAACCACCAACTTTTCGGTTAGAAGCCAAGTACTTTAACCACTGCTCCACCATGCTAAGCTACTCAATAAATAATTTTTTCAAAGAATAAGTGAATACTGCTTATTGGATCCAAGGGATGGCTAAAAAAGACAATTTGCTACTAGGTCTTCTCTCTGAGAGCTCTCCAACTCCTGAAGTTCTTCAGTCCAGTCATAGAAGACCAGGTGCTTCTACAAAACTTGGTAGCAGCTAAGTTAGTGAGTCTGTTTGTGAAAAGATTAATGATGTCATGACTCTTGAAGCTGTGGAGTCCCTGGGTGGTACAAACGGTTAACACACTTGGCTACTAACTTCAAGGTTGGAAGTTCGAGTCCACCCAAAGACACTTCGTAAGAAAGACCTGACGATCTACTTCAGAAAATCAGCCATTGAAAACCCCACGGAATAGTTCAACTATGACATACAGTTGTCATGAATCAGGACTCAATGGCAACTGGTTACTGGTTTTTGGGTTTTCCAAGTTGTAAGAAGTCAAAATTTGGCTTATAATGATGCTTGCCTCACTAATTCTTTTTGGAGAGGACAGAAATCAATAGCCAAGCTGAAGTGTAATTCTCCAAGGACACTGCAAGCTACTGTGAGTTTTCAAGGGAATTTGGCCAAATATAGCCAAGCTTGGTGACAAGTGACAAGGGTGATGGTCTGCTTGTACATTACCAGATTTGAGTGAGCCTCTGAATCATTAAGGAACTGATGAGATAATGGGCCTAACAGGTGTTCTGATATGGAGGCAGGATTGTGACAGGGAAAGCACAAGAATTTAGAAACAGACTGACCTAAAATCAGACACTTAGCAAGTTTGCGATGAAACAGCTGAGCCTCCTCCAGAAGGTACCCATTGCCAATTACCTCATCTGGCCATCAAGGTAAGGCCATTGTGGCCAGACCCAAGTCTGGTGACAGGGTTCTATCTGTATGTCCTAAAATGTAAGATTTTCTGGTTTTTCAAAAACACAAATCTGATCACATCATTCTTTTGCTTAATTCCATTCAGTGGCATCCCATCACCCTTAACCTATGCCTGAACTCTCTTACGTGCCCCACCGATCCGCCACCTCATCTCTCTCTGATCTTCTCTCACCACTTTCCCTCTTACACTTATTCCAGCAAACTCAAACTTCTTTCAGTTGCTAAAACTAAAACATTCAACCCATACTTACTGTTGATCTGACACCAACAGACATGCTTTTTAACCTTCTTCATCCAGCTAACTTCCAGGTCTTAAACGACATCCTCAGGGAAGCACTCCTTGCCTCTTAAGACAGGTTAGGTCTTACCCTACTATGCATACATCACACACCGACCTCACACCTCTGTAATTTTTGTTTAATGTTTTGTCTCTCCCGCTACACCATTATTTCTATGAGGACTGCTACTGTGGCGACCTTGGCCACTCTTGTATCCCCAAGGCCTTGCAGAGCGACTGGAACGTAACAGAAATTTTTTTTTTTTTTTAAAGTTAGGTGGATATACTGTCCTCCTTAATATGTCTGACAAAATATGAGTCCACTATAGGTATGGCAGCTTTTCCTTTACTGCACCCAGAAAAGCACTGAATCAATTTAATATCTTTTGAATGAATAAATCCTATAAAATAATAAAATCTTCCAAATTGTTGAATTCAGTAAGATACAGAATAACCCACATCAAACCAAACCTACTGCTGTCGAGTCAATTGCGACTTCTAGTGACCCTATAGGACAGAGCAGAACTGCCCCATAGGGTTTCCAAGGCTGTAAATCTTTATGGAAGCAGACTGCCACATCTTTCTCCCAAGGAGTAGCTGGTGGGTTTGAACTGTTGATCTTTTGGTTAGCAGCCAAGCACTTTAACCACTGCGCCACCAAAGCTATATGTAATATAGAATATAGGTCATCTAAAACACTACATTCACTCTATTTCTAACTTTTCTATTGGTTTTGATAACATGTCGAGAATAAAAACAAAAACAAGACACCATCATATCCAGAAATAACTTTATCCAAAGAGAATTCAAATGGAAGATACATTTGACATCAATTCATTTATTAGTACACTTAATATCAAGAATGACATCCATAAGAGCACAAAATAGTCTCGCAGAATCTCAATCAAGCTTCTGGCTTACCTTGTGTGTGACTTCCATTACTATCAACCACACACATAAAGAAACTAACAGAGATCTACTGAAAATGGCTTTCCCAAACATTTACAAAATGAAAAAGGCAAAGTATGTCAAAATACAACATAAGGAGCAATACAGCCCTGAATTTACTTTGGAAAGTCTGCCTAAGGCACAACCAAAGTGAACAGTTATAAACCCTGCTCTGACTTTTGATTCTTTTGCTCTTAAATCTTCAATTCTGAATTCTGACTCCTTTTCCATATTAGATTATCAGCTCTTTGAGGTAAGAATTTCATACTTTTTAAAATTCCTCCAATGACTGCAAGCAGTTAGCCTGGCGACTAGGCTAGTTGGTGTACCATTTTCTCAGAGAATAACTTAATAAAGGCATATGTGAGAAATATTACATCTATCCAAGGCACTGTCACTCCTATATACGTTTGTGATATACCTGATCACATAAAGGTTTCAGTCAATTTGATTATTTTTTCTTCAAACACATTTTGAAAACTAATGGCACTTGAATGAATGGTGACAGAGTAAGGAGAGGGACTATCTTAATACAAAACATTAAGTCAGCATGTGATGAGGTGGAGTGTTGAAATTGTAAGAATTTTCTAAAATGATAATTTAAAAATTGCAGATGCTTTTATTCAAAACTGCAAAAAGGTACCAATTACCCTAATTTGATGGAATCACGTATCTTCTGAGTAACAGCAGCTACTGATCAATACTGAATAATAAGAAAACATTTAAAGGGAATAATTCTGATAAAACCAGAATATAAAATTATACAGACCAAATCAAGTCGACAGTGGTGACAGAATGCTCACCACGAGTGGTGCCCGAGTGTCCTGTGCAGATGACTCAGGTGCTGCTGAGGAGCTTGGTTAAGAAAGAAGAAAAGGAGGTGACCCAGTGAGTGGGGATCTAGACTCTGCCCCTGCTTCAGAGAAGCTCCACTTCTATTTGTTTTGTATTATACATTGAGAAGGTGTGTGTATACCATTTTTGTAAAGAAACCTCCATATGAATGAATAAACAAAGGCGGTTGATGAATGAATTAACAAAATGTGGTATATACATACAATGGACTATTACTCAGCCATAAAGAGAAACAAAGTCCTGAAGCGACATGAGTGAACCTTGAAAACATTATGCTGAGCAAAATGAATCAGTTGCAAAAGAACAAATATTGTATGATCTCACCTATATGAAATAAGCAAATATATAGAAACCAAAGATTAGTGGTTACCATGCATAGGAGAGAGGGGGAAAAGGAAACTTTTTGCTCTAGGGGCAGTGAGTTTATGTTAACAGTGGTATATTAATTTGGAAAAGGACTGCGAGAATGGTTATACAACATGAAGAATGTAATCAATGTCACTGAATTATACATGTAGAAATTGTTGAATTGATGACTGGTTTGTTGTGTATATTTTTGTATCACAATTTTTTTTTTAAAGAAAAGCTTCCTGTGGTTAAAAAAGAAAAATTCTGAAAACCAGAGTAATATGCTTTTTCCAAGCATATAAAAAGAACTGAAATTAGGGCATCTTAGGCAGTTAAGACTCCAAACTATTGAGAGAATGATCAGTTTTCTTCCCTCCAAATTGCTAAGGTCAAAATGATTGTCAACTAACGAGATATACTACAGAGTAACAAACTACAAGTTAGGTACCTTCAGATTAATAGCAAGTATCCAGAGGCCAGCTAGCCACATGGGAGATTGTAACTGCTCACTGCGGCCAGGCAACCATGACAGCAAACAGGTCCCCTCTCAGCCTGACCTTGGCGAAGAGCTGTTTCTCAGAAGTCAAAGCTAACAAAGACTTCACTTTCTTCAGACAATGCAGTACAGAAGAGGAGTGGGCTGGGATGCAGGTTTTTCAACAAAACAGAAAGGCATGTCAGCACAGTGTTGTATGCATAAGCTTAAGGATGTCTAATAAACACACAATTTTTAATGTTGAATCGTTAAAGATGACTGGCCAACATATGGATATGCATAGTACTTGGCACACAAGTCTTCAATAAATGTTACTGCAACCATTCTGAAAAGGTAATGGTCTCTAAGCAGTATGTTCTAAAAGGTAAAAGTCAGGGGAAAAATTTCATCTCTAAAAAAAGCATATAAAAAGTCCAGTAATGTAGCAGTTGCAAAAATTTTTTTTTTTTAAGTTACAGCAGATTTTATGCTTAATACATTGTAGGCCTAGGAGATAATACATTATTAAAATGGAAAATGTGATTTTGATTAATAGATAACTAGTATCATGAGCTTAAACATGCTATTTTAAAAAAGGAGAAAATGTCTAAATGATTCTGTACATAAAACACATGAGACTGTCTCTTTTTATAAGTAAAGTATTTCATCACTTAGAAGGAAATAAATTTCCCATTATATGTTTGGTTCTCACTGTTCCTGGACAAAGCAGTCCTAACCATTTTAACAAACCTCATTTAAAATAAGCTAATAACGTAGAATCTGGGACAAATCATCTTAGCATCTACAGAATCCTGAGTGTCACATGCAATCAGTGAAAAGAAAGGCCAAATCTGACTGTGTCTGGAGATTTTCACAATGAAAATAAAAGATCTAGAAAGCCAAATGAAAATAACTTACTTACATCAGGTTCTTTTTATCTGTTGATTGTACATTTTACAAACTGAATATATGGCCTCCCTTTTCACAATAAGTACTTTGCAAGAGGTCCTATGTAAACGTGTACTGTTTTATAAACCATGCAGTTTCTATTCTGCAGCAAAATTTAAGAGTGAGTGAAGTGGTTTTTCCCTCATGAAAAAGCACTGAATGCAGAGTTAGGAACACATTCAATATCATTTCATTTAAGAAGCTCTCCTAATCAGGTATGGATGCTGGCTTGCAAAATATACACTGCCTAAAGCAAAAAAAAACAAGTACAGCAACTTGCAAATGACATCATCTTAACAATTTTTCGTTCTTTTTATTGACAAACATTCAATGACACCATTTTCATCATATGAAAGTAAACAACAATAACAACAGAATCTCCTAACCCCGCACCTTCTAATCCAAGGAGCCTCAATGCAATTATTACAAATCACTAGCTATCACTGAATTGATTGGGCAACAATTAAGTTGGCACTTTCCCCAAAGTATAAAAAGGATGCTTTGAACAGATATAATCCATTGAGAACTAGGCTTACATCATAAATGCTGGGGGTGAAAAGTACACAAAATGACAGATTCATGATTTGAGATGAGAGAGGGATCCACTGCTCCACGTGGCACAAAGGAACTCGGCTGCGGTGGCCACACAAATTTTACTTTGTAGCTGGGTTCTTCGGAGGAAGAAGTTTGTATGTGTTGAAGTAGCCCACCACCTGCTGGGGAATCTCTGCCAAGACACACTGAGCAAGCGCTTCTTTTGGAGCCTTGTGAAAAACAAAATCGAAGTCACTTTATTGGCAATCACATTTTTACTGGCATTTTACCAAAAGACTATTTGCCCAGTTAGTAAAAGCCAGTAATTTCCAACTCCTAGGCTTGTATCTTTTCTTAGAAATAGTCCATGAATGCTATGATTATCCCCTTTTTCAGTGCCAGCATTTTAACATTTGATGATTTTTTCATTTTTTAACTTTGACATGTAGGTCTTTTATTCACCTGGTATTAATTTTTTTAAGTTTTTATTGTGAAATAATCACAGAGTCATTGGAAGTTGCAAAAATTGTACAGAGATGTCCCACGTACCCTTCACCCAGTTTCCTCAAAGGTAATATCTTACATAACTCTAGTATAGTATCAAACCAGGAAACTGACATTGGTACAGTCCACAGATCTGGTTCAGATTTCACCAGTTTTACATGTGCTCATTTGTGTGTATGTGTGTCTGCATATATAGTCTTATGCAACTTTATCACATATGTAAATTTGTAGGGGCCCTGGTAGTGCAGTGGTTAAGCACTCGCTGCTAACCAAAAGGTCACTGGTTCGAACCAGCCATTCCACAGGAGAAAGATGTGGCAGTCTCCTTTCGTAAAGATTACAGCTTTGGAAATCCTTTGGGGGCAGTTCTACTCTGTCCTATAGGGTCACTATGAGTCAGAATCAATTCAACGGCAATAGGTTTGGTTTTTGGTTTTTTTGATGTAAATTCATATGACTGCCACCACAATCAAGATACAAAACCGTTCCATTTCCCTAATGCTTTATAGTCATAGCCAGTCTCCCACACCTACCCTGGTCCCCCGACCCTGGCAACCACTGATCTTGTTGTCCATCTCTATAATTTTGTCAGTTCAAGAATGGATTCATACAGTATGTGAGCTTTTAATATTGGCTTTTTCACTCATCATACTTCAAGTTATTCCATGTATCAATCCAAGTTATTCCATGTATTAATAGCTCATTCCTTTTTATTGTTGAGTGGTATTTCCATAGTGTGGATGCACCACAGTTTGCCCAGATAAAGCTGCTATAAACATTCATGTACACTTTGTGTTTTCTTTTCTCTAGGATAAATACCCAGGAGTGTGACTGCTGGGTCATATGGTAAGTATATGTTTAGTTTTTAAAGAAACTGCTAAACTGTTTTCCAGAGTGGCTGTACCATTTTATATTCCCACCAACAATGTATGAGTGATCAAGTTACTCTGCATCCTCACCAGCATTTGGTGTTCTCATTATTTTTGTTTTTTGTTTTTAGTGTTCTAATAGATGTGTAAGGATATCTCATCATGGTTTTAATTGGCATTTCCCTAATGGGTAATGATGTTGAACATATTTTGTTTTCCAGGATATAAGTTCTGTACATGTTTTCTTAGATTTATACCTAAGTATTTCATTTTATTTACTGAGCAATTGTCAATAGCATTGTGTTTTGAATTTTGGTTTCTCCATGTTCAAATCTAGTATATAGAAATAAAACAGATTTTTGTATCTTATATCTTGTGACTTTAATAAACTTATTAGTTCTAGAAAATTATAATTAATTTTTAAAAATAGACATAGGACTTCTGTTTCTATGAAGATAAAGTAGATATACTTTTCCCTACTCTTCCCACTAAGTACGTCTAAAAACCTTTCATGTTATATATAAAACAAAACGTAAGAGGACTCTTAAAAGTGAAAAGGAGGCAAACTAGCTAGAGATCTTAGAACCCAAAGAACAACAAAGTGATGAGTTCCCTGGGTTTTCTTTTTGCCTTATATATACCCGACTGGATATTGCGGAACCGGACAGTGTGGGAACACCCATGGGCACACATTAAAATAGCCTCAACAAAAGTTAGCTCTCTCAGACAACGGACTAGGAAAGGGGCAGCCTATCAAGAAAAAAAAAAATTTTTTTTTGAAGGTAAAATGAGGGATCCTTGTGGTGATGGAAATGTTCTGTATCTTGACTGTTTCAATGCCAATATCCTGGCTATGATACTGCACTGTGGTTTTGTGATATTACCATTGGGAGAAACTGGGTAAAACCATCTCCTGTGAGTTTTTCATCAACTTATCTTCTAGTTTGGTAAATTCAACATACATATTTGTATAGAGGTTATTTTTCTTTTGTTACAAAGGTAAAGATAAATACATCTTTAGACATTCACAATACAGTTTTGTTTTTTTGTTTTTGTTTGTTGTTTTACTAATTTTATTGTGGTAAAATATATATAACAAAACATTTATCATTTTAACCATTAACCAAGTGTACAATTCAGTGACATTAATTACATTCACCATGTTGTACAACCATCACCACTATCCTTTCCAAATACTTTCCATCACCCTAAACATAAGCTCAGGACCCCTTAGGCATCAACTCCCCATTCCTCCTAGCCCCTGATAACCACTAATAAACTTTGATATCTATGTATCTGCCTATTCTAGATATTTCATATAAGTGAGATCACACAATATTTATCCTTTTGTGTCTGACTTCTTTCACTCAGCATAACGTGTTCAAGGTTCATCCATGTCGTAGCATGTATCAGAACTTCATTTTTCTTTAATGATAACACAATTTTTAACAATTTATCATACAGACTGCAAGAGACACACAAAGTATACACCCTGAAACAACACTGTCAAATCTAATCGGGATTCTTCAAATAGAAAAAGGACCATGTTTACATACCGTCAAACCCTGGACACCCACTCAGCTGCCTGGTTGTGGATTGCAAAGGTCTGTATTCAAACACCTCACTGTGCACCAAGATAGGGAGGGGTAGTACTCACATTCTGGAACTGTCTGAAAGGTACAAACTGGACGATATCTCTGATGGCTGCTTCACCCGAGGGGGACCGGAGACTTCCACCATCACCATCCAGAAACTCCATGGCACTGAAGTCAGCACCTCCAACTCCAACAATGATGATGGACATGGGCAGCTTGGCAGCATTAACTATAGCTTGTCTGGTTTCATCAAGGTCTGTGATCACACCATCAGTAATAATCAAGAGCACAAAATATTGCTGCCAAAAAAGAAAGGCTCTGTTACATTTAGCAGCAACTGGTTCTTAGCAAAGACAAAAAGAAAATTATGTCCAGTGAGAAGGTAGAGCTCCCAAGTAATAAAAGCAATGGTTAACGACACCTCTAGCTTGATGAGTAACTTAGTCTCTTTCTTGCTCATTTTCCTTATCATTCTCTACCCAGGAATCTATTTGCATAAAACATCCTAAGATCCTCTGATGACAAGGAAATCCATTCATACAGAAACTGCAGGTTCATTAAAAGTGCAGCAGATCACAAAATAGTGTTGGCATAAATACACGAAAACAAGGTATCTAAACGCCAAAGATTAAAATGTAAATAAACATAGGAATACACTTCGATTTCACTGAAGTAGTAAATATGCCAAAGAATCAATCAAGTGAGCAAGTGGCAACTTCACTCCCAAAAGATCAAATATGGGAGAAGCAGAATTGTTTACTACACAAAAATACACTGTTAAACAAATGGATAAGGATTAGGGGGGAATCTTTCTCTCAATTCTTTGATCTCTGGTAAAATCCTTCAGAGAATGGGAAAATATCACAAAAAGTTTAGGCTCCATCTTTTGAGCCATTTAAGTTTAAAATGGGAATACTATTTATAATAGTAGCTACCATGTGCTAAGTGTATACCCTGACCCAAGTACTGTGTACTTTATATGAATTATCTTATTTAGCCCTTTCAACAACCATATGAGGTAGTTATTCCCACCTTACCGCTGAGTATACTGAAGCAAAGAGAGATTTGCTATGCAAAATTCAAGAGGTAAGGGCTGGCTAATTCAAACCTCTTTAATAGAGTACGTAATCTTGCAACAGCAACTAGGGTGGTAATCTCCTCAATCCTTAACTGTTAAATCTACTTCAAAAAAGTAGATGATAGCCACTGTCAGTTTCCTTGTTTTGCAGAACATATCTAAGAAGATTAATTCCAAAGACAGAGAAAAGACTCATGTGTAAGTGTTGTTCTGTTTTTAACAATCACTGATTAAATGATAACAGATATTACTCCAAACCAAGAATGACCATATCATTGCCTCCTGCCCTGACTTTGTAATCTCAATGGTCCAAATAAATAGAAAAATGGTAGCAAGAGCAACAACCAGTCTGCGTTCTCCCTGTCCCCTGGCCATGGAGCACTTACAGAAGCTGTCTGCTGTTGTGTGGCTACAGCAGCAAACCTAGCCACATGATTTATAATTGGAGAAAAATTAGTTGGTCCATAGAGTCTTATCTTAGGAAGGCAGGTCCGATACGCGTCTGCAACACCTTGGACTCCTAGACAACAAAAGCAGTATTAAAAATTCTCAAGCAAAAGTTAATTGTTTATCATTCACCATACTTGCTAATTTATTATATACATCAACATATACACCCTCTCCTCACTTATTGATGGTTAGGTTCCAAAGACCAGGTTGTTATGCAAAATCGATGTTATACAAAAATGGAGGATGACTATATCATTGCATAACCAAATTCCAACTGCCAACTCACTAAGAATTATGGCCCGGTCAAGGTGACTCATAACCTTGACCATCACAGCCAGCTTTACTCTCACCTCACACCTCAGTGTTTGTTACTGCCAGATGTATGTTGTTAAGGCACAAAAGAGTCAGATAATAGATTTTTTTATTATTGTCATAAGTGAAAATGTCAGGTAATGAGATAGTTGTTAAGTGAGAAGGTTTAGTCCTTTAAACAGTCAAACATTCTATATTCAGGAGTTCTTCTAAGCTATATATTACAAAACTTCCTAGTTAAGCTCCATCGCAAAAACTCAGCTCTGCCTTCCCCCAGTAGAAGACATTTATTTTTATCTCAGCCAAATTATTCATTAGTCTACAGTGGGATTGCTGCATTTGTGCTTCATTTTAATGTGATGTGGGAATGAGACTCTAATGGAAAAAGAACCATGAAAAAGTGCTGTATCACAACTGACAATAAGAAGAAAAAATACTGATAAAATAGAAAAACTTTTGCATATACGGCTAGAAGTTATAAATTTAATGCTAATCCCAGTCAAGAGTTTATTCAGTAACTTAAAGGTTAAGCACAGTATGGTAGATTGTATTAGTCCCAAATATTTACTTCCAGGGTATTTATCACAATGAGGTGAATATTCATACATTTTGCTGCAGAAACATTAACATGTTTGTTTACAGGGTATGCCCCTGGGCTACTTGGGTATTATGTAATACGACGTTGGGAAGGGGCTTTAGACTAGCCTTGGCCAAAGGTATGTGAATGGACATAATATCCACCATGTCTAAGCAGATGTTCTAAGAACTACAGCTTGTTTCCAACAGCTCTCTTGCTCTTTCACTCTGTCGTAGGAACAGCACATCCCTGATAGGGACTGCTCCTTCTGCCTGGGCCCCAGATTGAGAAAGGGGAGAGTCACAGTCTAGCCACAACAGCTGCTATGTAAATTGAGCAAGAAAGAAGCCATTGCCATAATAAGCTAGGAAAAGATGACTGGCATGCCTCATAAAAGTACTGTTGACGAAATTTTTTATCCCACATATGCACCTGCTGAATCTTCCTCTAATATTAGAGTGTCTAAGATATTATAAATCATGAAGAATTCCCAATACTTGCTGAGATAATCAAGGAAATCTGTCTCAAAAGACTTAATGTATACTAAAATGTGTCTCTTCCTTAAAAAATGCCCAATAGTAAATATTAAAGAAAAATATAAAGACTCAGCATATACAAAATCAACAACAAAGAAAAAGATGAAAGGAAAATACATAAAGAAAAATGACTCAGCAGAGAAAATTAAGTGGAACAAAGAAACAGTTAACAATACACAAAAAAGATATTAAAATGACAGCACTAAATTCATACTTATCACTAATTACACTGAACTTAAATGGACTAAATGCACCAATAAAGAGACAAAGAGTGGCAGAATGGATTTTAAAAAAAAAAAAACCACGATTCGTCTATATGCTGCCTACAAGAGACACACCTTAGACTTAAAAACACAAACAGAACTAAAATTCAAAGGATGGAAAAAAATACTTCAAGGAAACAACACTCAAAAAAGAGCAGGAGTGGAAATATTAATCTCTTACAAAATAGACTTTAAAGTAAAATCTACCACAAAGGATAAGGAAGGACACTATATAATGATTAAAGGGTGAATACACCAGGAGGACATAACTATAATAAATATTTACACAGCCAGAAACAGGGCTCCAAAATACATAAAACAAACTCTAACAGCATTGAAAAGAGAAACAGACAGCTCCACAACAATAGTAGGAGACGTCAACACACCACTTTCAGTGAAGGACAGAATATCCAGAAAGAAGCTCAATAAAGACACAAAAGATCTAAATGCTACAATCAACCATGTAGATCTCACGGACACATACCAAACACTCCACCCAACAACAGCCAAGTATACTTTCTTTTCCAACGCACATGGAACGTTCTCCAGAATAGACCACATATTAGGCCATAAAGCAAGCCTTAACATAACCCAAAGCATGGAAATATTACAAAGCATCTTTTCTGACCATAAAGACATAAAAGTAGAAATCAATAACAGAAAAAGCAAGGAAAAAAAAAATCAAACACATGGAAACTGAGCAACACCTTGCTCAAAAACTACTGGGTTACAGGAGAAATTAAGGGTGGAATAAAGAAATTTATAGAATCAAATGAGAATGAAAACACATCCTACCAGAACCTTTGAGACACAGCAAAAGCAGTGCTCAGAGGTCAATTTATAGCAATAAATGCACACAACCAAAAAGAAGAAGGGGCCAAAATCAAAACATTAACCCTACAACTCAAACACGTAGAAAGAGAGCAGCAAAAGCAGCCCAGGGGCACCAGAAGAAAGAAAATAATAAGAATTAGGGTAGAATTAAACGAAATAGAGAATAGAAAAACAATTGAAAGAGTTAACAAGACCAAAAGCTGGTTCTTTGTAAAGATCAACAAAATTAATAACCACTGGCCAAACTGACAAAAGAAAAACAGGAGAGGAAGCAAATAACCCAAATAAGAAATGTGATGAGTGATAACAGACTCAACTGAAATTAAAATAATCATAACAGAATACTATAAAAAAATTATACTCCAACAGATTTGAAAACCTAGAGGAAATGGACAAATTTCTAGAAACTCACTACCTACCTAAACTAACACAGAGGTAGAACAACTAAATAAACCTACAACAAAAGAAGAGATTGAAAAGGTAATTTAAAAACTCCCCACAAAAAAAAGCCCTGGCCTGGGGAGTTTCACTGAAGAATTCTACCAAACTTTCAGAGAAGAGTTAACACCACTATTACTAAAGGTATTTCAGAGAATAGAAAAGGATGGAATACTCTCAAACTCATTCTATGAAGCCAGCATAAACCTGATACCAAAATCAGGTAAAGACACCACAAAAAAAGAAAACTACAGACCAGTATCCCTCATGAACATCGACGCAAAAATCCTCAACAAAATTCTAGCCAATAGAATTCAGCAACATATCAAAAAAATAATTCACCATGATCAAATG